AAAAAAAAAAAAAAAAAAAAACTTACATCTGCTAACCCCAACCTCCCACTCCAGCCCTCCCCCAATCCCCTCCCCCTTGACAACCACCAGTCTGTTCTCTATGTCTGTGATTCTGTTTCTGTTTCATAGATAGGTTCATTTGTGTCATATTTTAAATTCCACATGTAAGTGTTATCATATGGTATTTGTCTTTCTCTTTCATAACAGCATTCTTAGTCCCTGTCTCTAGGGGATGATGTGGGGAACTCGCCCAGCCAGCAAGGTCACCCAGTGTGAAAGGGGTGATGGAGCGCCTCAGAAGTTGTAGGGAGCTCTGAAATCAAGGGCATCTCAAAGCTCCTGCTGTTCTGTGATTCAGGGCCTCCTGCCGGGCTCTCGGGCCAGCTAGATCAAGCTTCGCTGTCACACACCTCTTCTGCCATGGAGCGTTAAAGCATTTCTTAGCCTGACATTGCAATTTCCCTGACAAGGTTCTGGCTGACAGATGTTCCCCAAATTAAAAAGTAGTGTACCCTGCCTATTCACTATTTCATCTTTTCAAGGAAGGAGAACAATTACTTATTTATTTTTAAAGCAAAATCACTAACCCCGCACATTGTCATCTGCAATACAAGTTGGGTAATTTAGGAGCAATCTTGGCTTCAGTGATGATGTTGGAACCATAAAGTGGATTCAATTTCAGATTTACAAGTTTCAGAGGGAGGTTCAAGAAACTGTCATATATCCTGACTTCCCTTCATCTCTTCACCTAGGGAAGTTTTCCTGCTTGTCGTGGCATCCTTGTGCTCTCGCTACTCACTTCCCAGCTGCTTTGGGGAGGTAAGTGATACCCATGAGACCTGGATCCTCTGGACAGTTCCAAATGCCGCCAAAGAAAGCAGCAGATGGGATAGGATTTTGAGATCATGTAGAAGATGCTGTCTCACCTGCATCTGCTCAGTCAGGGGCAAGTTGGTGGTTGAAAACATTTTGCATACTAACTCTGTTGTAGGTGTGAGACATTGCCCTGGAGCAGAAGGGGAAAAAAAAAGATCTAAGAACAGATGGAATTCTTTTTACTTGACACTGTAGAAAGCTGTGCAGAAATGATCACTTTTGGGAGAAAGGTATTTTAATTGAATGAGTCTTTGAGAAGGGACAGTATTATATACAGACCATTTCATATGGAAGATCATTTCCCCTTTCTTGAACATTTTTCTTCTGTATTTTTCATGACACTGTATTATCTCAGTTCACTTCCTATTTCTCCATCCACCTCAGATTTCTTTAGATATGTACCCAGGAGTGGGATTGCTGGATCATATGGTAGTTCAATTTTTAGTTTTTTGAGGAACCTCCATACTGTTCTCTGCAGTGGCTGCACCAACTTACATTCCCACCAACAGTGTACAAAGGAAGGTTTAAGGACAAAGTCTTATAAAAACAGTCTTAAAATATGTCTCTTATTATGGGCTTATGTTTGGGATTTTTTTTCCCCTGTTAGCTTTGGATATTTAATGCATTTCAGGATCCTGAAACCCAGAACTGGAGGTATTTTGAGGTGAACCTACTAAGAATCCATTTTCTGCTTATTTTGCTCTATTTTTCATGAAATGAAAAATGAGAACATAAGGCCAAATTTTAGTGCATTGTATTAACATTAAGATTCAATAAATGGGGCTTCCCTGGTGGCGCAGTGGTTGAGAGTCCGCCTGCTGGTGCAGGGGACGCGGGTTCGTGCCCCGGTCCGGGAGGATCCCACGTGCTGCGGAGCGGCTGGGCCCGTGAGCCATGGCCGCTGGGCCTGCGCGGCCGGAGCCTGTGCTCCGCAGCAGGAGAGGCCACAACAGTGAGAGGCCCCCGTAACGCAAAAAAAAAAAAAAAAAAAAAAAAGATTCAATAAAATCTCATGTCTTATAAATAAGAGGAAAGATCTCAGTGGCAAAGGAAGAAAAAGCAACAGATGACGGATGCTGTTCCTGCAAGATGAATGACCAAGTGTACTCACTGAATCCCATTTTCCATCGCCTGCCAGGCTTGAGAAATGGAAATGCCACACAGGCCACCGTGTTGGCTTGGGCCATGAAATTCCACACAGTTACCCCAGAGCCAAGGGTAACAGCTGAGAGAAACATGAAAAGAATGACATGTGATTGATTACACTTGGGAGAAATAGCAAGTCTTGTTGAAACTTGTATAAAAACATAACAGAGGGATTGGTTCAAGATGGCAAAGTAGAAGGACGTGCACTCACTCCCTCTTGCGAGAGCACTGGAATCACAACTAACTGCTGAACAATCATCCACAGGAAGACACTGGAACTCACCAAAAAAGATACCCCACATCCAAAGACAAAGGAGAAGCCACAATGAGACGGTAGGAGGGATGCAATCACAATAAAATCAAATCCCATAACCGCTGGGTGGGTGACTCACAAATCAGAGAACAACTATACCACAGAAGTCCACACACTGGAGTGAAGGTTCTGAACCCTAGGTCAGGCTTCCCAACCTGTGGGTCTGACAATGGGAAGAGGAATTCCCAGAGAATCAGGCTTTGAAGGCTAGTGGGATTTGGTTGCAGGACTTTGACAGGACTGGGGGAAACAGAGACTCCACTCTTGGAGGGCACACACAAAGTAGTGTGTGCATCGGGAGCCAGGGGAAGCAGCAGTGACCCCATAGGAGACTGAACTGACCTACCTGTTAGTGTTGGAGGGTCTCCTGCAGAGGCGGGGGGTGGCCGTGGCTCACTGCGGGGACAAGGACACTGGCAGCAGAAGTTCTGGGAAGTGCTCCTTGGCGTGAGCCCTCCCAGAGTCTGCAATGAGCCCCACCAAAGAGCCTGTAGCCTCCAATGCTGGGTCACCTCAGACCAACAACCAACAGGGAGGGAACTCAGCCCCACCCATCAGCAGACAAGCAGATTAAAGTTTTAGGGAGCTTAGCCCCACAGAGCAACACCCAGCTCTACCCACCACCAGTCCCTCCCATCAGGAAGCTTGCACAAACCCCTTAGATAGCCTCATCCACCAGAGGGCAGACAGCAGAAGCAAGAAGAACTACAATCCTGTAGCCTGTGGAACGAAAACCACATTTACAGAAAGATAGACAAAATGAAAGGCAGAGGACTATGTACCAGATGAAGGAACAAGATAAAACCCCAGAAAACAATTAAATGAAGTGGAGATAGGCAAATTTCGTGAAAAAGAATTCAGAATAATGATATTGAAGATGATCCAGGACCTCGGAAAAAGAATGGAGGCAGAGATCGAGAAGATGAAAGAAATGTTTAACAAAGACCTAGAAGAAGTAAAGAACAAACAGATAAACAATACAATAACTGAAATGAAAAATACACTAGAAGGAATCAATAGCAGAATCACTGAGGCAGAAGAACAGATGAGTGACCTGTAAGACAGAATGGTGGAATTCACTGCTGTGGAACAGAATAAAGAAAACAGAATGAAAAGAAATGAAGACATTTCTAAGAGACCTCTGGGAAAACATTAAACGCACCAACATTCGCATTATAGGGGTCCCAGAAGGAGAAGAGACAGATAAATGACCTGAGAAAATATTTGAAGAGATTATAGTCAAAAACTTCCCTAACATGGGAAAAGAAATAGCCACCCAAGTCCATGAAGCGCAGAGAGTCACAGGCAGGATAAACCCAAGGAGAAACACGCCGAGACACATAGTAATCATATTAACAAATATTAAAGGCATTTTTCACAGAACTAGAACAAAAAATTTCACAACTTGTATGGAAACACAAAGAACCCTGAATAGCCAAAGCAATCTTGAGAAAGAAAAATGGAGCTGGAGGAATCAGACTCCCTGATTTCAGACTATACTACAGAGCTACAGTAATCAAGACAGTATGGTACTGGCACAAAAACAGAAGTATAGATCAATGGAACAGGATAGAAAGCCCAGAGATAAATCCACGCACATATGGTCACCTTATCTTTGATAAAGGAGGCAAGAATATACAGTGGAGAAAGACAGCCTCTTCAATAAGTGGTGCTGGGAAAACTGGACAGCTACATATAAAAGAATGAAATTAGAACACTCCCTAACACCATACACAAAAATAAACTCAAAATGGATTAAAGACCTAAATTTAAGGCCAGATACCATCAAACTCTTAGAGGAAAACATAGGCAGAACACTCTATGACATAAATCACAGCAAGATCCTTTTTGACCCACCTCCTAGAGAAATGGAAAAAAAACAAAAATAAACAAATGGGACCTAATGAAACTTAAAAGCTTTTGCACAGCAAAGAAAAGCATAAACAAGACGAAAAGACAACCCTCAGAATGGGAGAAAATATTTGCAAATGAAGCAACTGACAAAGGATTAATCTCCAAAACATACAAGCAACTCATGCAGCTCAATATCAAAAAACCAAAAAATTCTATCCCAAAATGGGCAGAAGACCTAAATAGACATTTCTCCAAAGAAGATATACAGATTGCCAACAAACACATGAAAGAATGCTCAACATCTTTAATCGTTAGAGAAATGCAAATCAAAACTACAATGAGATACCATCTCACACTGGTCAGAATGGCCATCATCAAAAAATCTACAAACAATAAATGCTGGAGAGGGTGTGGAGAAAAGGGAACCCTCTTGCAATGTTGGTGGGAATGTAAATTGTTACAGCCACTATGGAGAACAGTATGGAGGTTCCTTAAAAAACTAAAAATACAACTACCATATGACCCAGCAGTCTCACTACTGGGCATATACCCTGAGAAGACCATAATTCAAAAAGAGACATGTACTGAAATGTTCATTGCAGCTCTATTTACAATAGCCAGACATGAAAGCAACCTAAGTGTCCATCAACAGATGAATGGATAAAGAAGATGTAGCACATGTATGCAATGGAATATTCCTCAGCCATATAAAGGAACGAAACTGAGTTATTTGTAGTGAGGTGGATGGACCTAGAGACTGTCATACAGAGTGAAGTAAGTCAGAAAGAGAAAAACAAATACCGTATGCTAACACATATATAAGGAATCTAAAAGAAAAAAAGAAAAAAAAGGAAAATGGTCAGAAGAACTTGGGGCAAGACAGGAATAAAGATGCAGACTTACTAGAGAATGGACTTGAGGACACGGGGAGGGGGAAGGGTGAGCTGGGACAAAGTGAGAGAGTGGCATGGATATATATACACTACGAAATGTAAAATAGATAGCTAGTGGTAAGCAGCTGCATAGCACAGGGAGATTAGCGCAGTGCTTTGTGACCCCCTAGAGGGGTGGGATTGGGAGGGTGGGAGGGAGGGAGATGCAAGAGGGAAGAGATATGGGGACATATGTATATATATATCTGATTCACTTTGTTATAAAGCAGAAACTGACACACCATTGTAAAGCAATTATACTCCAATAATGATGTTAAAAAAAAGAGACAAAGAAAAAATATTAAAAGCAACAAGGGAAAAACGACAAATAACATGCAAGGGAACTCCCATAAGGTTAGCAGCTGATTTCTCCACAGAAACTCTACAAGCCAGAAGGGAGTGCCACAATATATTTAAAGTGATGAAAGGGAAGAACCTACAACCAAGATTACTCTACCTGACAGGATCTCATTCAGATTCAAAAGAGAAATCAAAAGCTTTACAGACAAGCAAAAGCTAAGAGAATTCAGCACCACCAAACCAGCTTTATGACAAATGCTAAAGGAACTTCTTTCTAAGTGGGAAACACAAGAGAAGAAAAGAACCTACAAAAGCAAGCTGAAAACAATTAAGAAAAAGGTAATAACATACATATAGATAATTATCTTAAATGTGAGTGGATTAAATGCTCCAACCAAAAGACACAGGCTCGTTGAATGGATACAAAAACAAGACCCATATATATGCTGTCTGCAAGAGGCCCACTTCAGACCTAGGGACACATACAGACTGAAAGTGAGGGGATGGAAAAAGATTCCATGCAAATGGAAATCAAAAGAAAGCTGGAGTAGCAATACTCATATCAGATAAAATAGGCTTTAGAGACTGTTACAAGAGATAAGGAGGGACGCTACAGAATGATCAGAGGATCAATCCAAGAAGAAGGTATAACAATTATATATGCACCCAACATAGGAGCACCTCAATACATAAGGCAAATGCTAACAGCTATAAAAGAGGAAATGACAGTAACACAATAAGAGTGGAGGACTTTAACACCTCACTTACGCTGATGGACAGATCATCCAGACAGAAAATTAATAAGGAAACACACAAGCTTTATATGACACAATAGACCAGATAGATTTACTTTTCAGACATTCCATCCAAAAACAGCAGATTACACTTTCTTCTCAAGTGCACACAGAACATTCTCCAAGATAGATCACATCTTGCGTCACAAATCAAGACTCTGTAAATTTAAGAAAATTGAAATCATGTCAAGCATCTTTTCCAACCACAATGCTATGAGATTAGAAATCAATTACAGGGAAAAAAACACAAACATATGGAGGCTAAACAGTACGTTACTAAATAACCAAGAGATCACTGAAGAAGTCAAAGAGGAAATTTAAAAATACGTAGAGAAAAATGATAACAAAAACACAATGATCCAACACCTATGGGATGCAGCAAAAGCAGTTCTAAGAGGGAATTTTATAGCAACACAATCCTACCTGAAGAAACAAGAAAAATCTCAAATAAACAATCTAACCTTACACCTAAAGGAACCAGAGAAAGAAGAACAAACAGAACCCAAAGTTAGTAGAAGGAAAGAAATCATAAAGATCAGAGCAGAAATAAGTGACATAGAAACAAAGAAAACAATAACAAAGATCAATAAAACTAAAAGCTGGTTCTTTGAGTAGATAAACAAAGTTGATAAACCTGTAGCCAGACTCATCAATAAAAAAGGGAGAAGACTCAAATCAATAGGATTAGAAATGAAAAAGGAGAAGTAACAACTGACACTGCAGAAATATAAAGGATCATGAGAGATTACTACAGGCAGCTATATGCCAATAAAATGGACAACCATGAAGAAATGGACAAATTCTTAGAAAGGTATAACCTTCCAAGACTGAACCAGGATGAACTAGAAAATATGAACAGACCAAAGACAATAATGAAATTGAAACTGTGATTAA